TACATTTGCACACTTTTTATATGGTGGCCTATGTCCATATCAAATCAAATCAAGTTTTATTTATATAGCACATTTTTCAACGATTTTTGGTCGAGCCAAAGTGCTGTATATACAGTATAATACAAAAATAACCTACAGTAAAGACACTTTACAGCAAATACAACAGCACAGTTTGTGCAGAATATCAGTATGAGAAAACGACACCCTCTGTCCTTATATGCTTCTGTTTTGGTGGTCGTGCCACAACCGTGCATGTATGCACAAGTCATAGGTGCACTATACAATAGCACTACACCCCTGCAATGTGTGGGAAAGACAATAGACTTTACAGCATGTTTTTTTAAATTGAAGTTGCGTTGGTGTTTGTGTGTTGGTTGTTGACGGCAGTGTGTGCCCCCCCTTGGTAAATGATTGCCCCCCCATTCAAGTTGTTCTAGAGCCGACCCTGGCCACAGGTCTTCGCATGAAACGTGCTCGTTCTATCGTTTCCCGGCCAATGTTTTCCAAAGGAGAGTCTGGATTCGTGCCATGAGGTAAGCTGACGTTACATTTTTGTCCATGTCACGGTGAAATGTAAATGATGGGTAGTGACTGTATCGCCGTTTTAGAGATGGCGCTGCTGAAAAGACCGCAACATAAGTAAAGATAATGAATAAATCCTATTCAAACCTGTGTGGCTTATATGATAAGTCTAATTAGTACAAGCAGCATAACGTTTCACCATGTAACTAAAGATTGTAGTCAGGGAAATCAGTTTGACATATTGAACTAATAACAAATCACCTCTGGCTGGCAGAGAACTCTCTGCTCCATAGCTTCTCTTGGACGTCAAATCACATGTACATTTTACATTTATATTCAATTTAATATTCCATCCCTCACATACTTTTGTATATATAATAACTTAGATTTTGTTTTTCTTGTTATGCTGCTGCAACACAAACATTTCCCAAATTGGGATCAATACAGTAATATCTTATCTTAATTAATTAAGAAATATAACTATTATAATTAGTGTAGCAGCTGACACCTATTTTCAATATGGATTAATCTACCTTTATTTCTTTAGTTCAATTTTCATCTATAAAAATGTCAAAATAGTGAAAATGTTCACGAGACAAAGTGCAAGGTTATATCTTTAGATGTTTTGTTTTAGCCTATGTACTGTATGTCTTAATGCTCTTATATGTGACGGTGTGACTTCCATGAAACTAATATTTTATATCTTCCCAACAGACGAGCTGACAGGAAGCCTAACATTCTAACAACCACAACATTGCAAAGGCGAGTAAATGTAAATTAAAAACTATTCACAATTTTTTTATTTCTTCTTCTTTCTTGCAGTGAGGTGAAGCTGACCTTGCACTTGGTGCCAGTAAGGATGCTCCTCACGCAGGCTGAATGTTTCTCCCTCCTTACTGACACAGAAGCCCTTGATTTGCAATGCTTCACTAATTGTCATTTCCCTGGCTCCGTAGGGACACTTTACCTCCAGACCATCTGGAGATGCCCCCAACACTCCTGATTGGGAGAGCCACAAACCTGACTCATGGACCTGCATCTGGGTTGCAGTGGTGAATGCCCTGACGCCCTCACATTCATTCATAGTCCCCCACTGTACAGACAAAACACCATCAAGGGCCTGTTGTTTCCCTAGCACCCTGGCAATAAGGGAAGCAGTCACACGCTTTGACCTCAGGACAGCTCCAAAGTTGCTGGCAGTCAACCTTCCTTTCCTGAACAAATGCCAGTTTGGGTTGGTTCGCTGACCAGTGGTAGCCACCTGAATTGCCCTCTGTTGCTCCTCAGACAATGCCATGCTTGCCACAATTGCCTCAGGTCACTGATGCCCAACAGATTTAAGAATGTCAGGAACAGTAAGTGTTTCCAAGCTGTAGTGTTCCTCTTCTGGCTCGGGGGAGAGAAGCCAAGAAATTCCTGAGAACCTGCCCCGAGTCTATCCCTCAGCCAGTCACGATCTTCGGAGGTGGGCTCTCTTGTCAGCGGGTTGAATGAGTTATTGGTTGGAGGAAATAGCTCCTCCACTGAATGCGTACGTTTAGCTGCCTTTGGCTTCTTCCACTGACAGGGGGTGTCAGTGCAGCTGAAATTGTGGATGGCAAAGATGGCTAATGCAGCCGCATGACTGCATTTCCATTCTCCACATGGGCATTCACATTTTGTGGAGAGAATTCCCTCTTCTCCTGTAGATACCTGTGGTGGTGGGATTGTTTTATTATTTAAAATATATTTACATTTGTATTGCCTTCCCAATTATCCCTTTAATTGTTTATAGCCTACTGTATGTTTATTTCATGGATATTTCTGTATTTTCTGGTGTGTAATATTTGTAATCTTGGGGCCTCTTCTCTTTAACGTCTACATGCTACCACTGGCTCAGATAATGAAGAACAACAAAATAAGTTACCATAGCTATGCAGATTCACAAATCTACGTAACAATTTCACCAGGAGACTATGCTCCAATTCAAACACTGAGTAAGTGCATTGAACAAATCAATGACTGGATGTGTCAGAACTTTCTCCAATTAAACAAAGATAAAACTGAGGTAATGGTTTTTGGAGCCAAGGCAGAACGTATAAAAGTTAGCGCTGAGCTTCAGTCTGCAATGTTCAAAACAACAGATAAAGCCAGAAATCTAGGTGTAGTCATGGACTCTGACCTGAGTTTCAACAGTCACATTAAAACAGTTACTAAATCAGCCTACTATCACCTAAAGAACATATCTAGGATTAAAAGACTAATGTCACAGCAGGATTTGGAAAAACGTGTCCATGCTTTTATCTTCAGTAGACTCGACTACTGCAATGGTGTCTTCACAGGTCTCACTAAAAAATCTATTAGGAAGCTGCAGCTGATTCAGAACGCTGCTGCTCGAGTCCTCACTAACACTAAGAAAGTGGATCACATCACTCCTGTTCTGAAGTCTTTACACTGGCTTCCTGTGTGTCAAAGAATAGATTTCAAAATACTGCTGCTGGTTTATAAAGCTTTGAATGGTTTAGGCCCAAAATACATTTCTGAACTCCTGCTATGAACCATCCAGATCTCTCAGGTCTTCAGGGACTGGTCAGCTTTCTGTCCCCAGAGTCAGAACTAAACATGGAGAAGCAGCGTTCAGTTATTATGCTCCAAATATCTGGAACAAACTCCCAGAAACCTGCAGGTCCGCTGCAACTCTGAATACTTTTAAATCCAGGCTGAAGACTTTTCTTTTTGTCGCTGCTTTTAATTGAACTATTCATATCTTAGACTGCACTGTAACTTTTATCCATATACTTTTTCTTTTAATGTTTATTTTTATTATCTTTTCTTTTTAATGACTGATTTTAAATGCCATTTTCTTAATGTCTTTCATTTTTTGTAAAGCACTTTGAATTGCCTTGTGTTGAAAAGTGCTATATAAATAAACTTGCCTTGCCTAATAAAGATTTCATGTGACACATAAAATGGATTTGTTGATGGGAATTAATGTGAATACATTAACTCTAGGTTAACGGTACTCTTGCTATCACTACTCACCGACACTCTATAAACCTTGTCCCTCATGCTAGCCCTGACAACACCGGTAAGCACACCTTCATCTAGGCTGCACTGTTTTACGTGTCCTGACTTGTAGTGGTTCTCTCCCAGGCCCGGACTGGCCATCGGGAGGACCGGTGTTGTGTCACATTATGCCTCCCCGTCATGAAATGCCCCCCTTGTCACGGGAACGCGCATTTCTCAATGACACGTTTACACCTCTAAATGACACGTTTACACCTCTAAATGACACGTTTACACCTCTAAATGACACGTTTACACCATAGGTTTACACCTTAAAACGATGTTTAAAACGAAAAGCAAACATTCAGGGTTTTTATTAATGGTAATTTTCAGACTGTGAGTTGTTTAGTGGTAGCTCATAGTCTTGATTCTTCTGGTTTAACTTTTCGCTCCGTATTTGAAGTGTCGAAATTCATTCGTCACTTCCTTTTCAGTTTTTGTTTTTTTAAATCTTTTTTTTATCATTATTGTTACGTCCTGTCTGTATAAACGTGCTTTAAAATGTATTGTTTAATTTTACATAGTTGTCATCTAATAATCAAAATATATGTTTACAAATGTTACATAGTCTTTGTCAGCATATTATTATATAGGCTATCGCTATGCGTACAAAATAAAAGGGTGACATTCATGGAACTTGCTCCATTTATTGGTACCAGTCCTAGAACCATACCCTGAAAAATGCTTGAGGGTGGGATTAATAGAAACCTCTTTTTTTTGGGGGGGGGGGCATTTTATGACAGGCCTGGCCATCACAATATGCCCCCCCTTGCTATCTTACAAAATAAAAGTGTCACATTCATGAAACTTGCTCCATTTATTGGTACCAGTCCTAGAACCATACCCTGAAAAATGCTTGAGGGTGGGATTCATAGAAACCTCTTTTTTTTGGGGGGGGTCATTTTATGACAGGCCTGTCCATCACAATATGCCCCCCCTTGCTATCTTACAAAATAAAAGTGTGACATTCATGAAACTTGCTCCATTTATTGGTACCAGTCCTAGAACCATACCCTGAAAAATGCTTGAGGGTGGGATTCATAGAAACCTCTTTTGGCGGGGGGGGGGCATTTTATGACAGGCCTGGCCATCACAATATGCCCCCCCCTTGCTATCTTACAAAGTAAAAGTGTGACATTCATGAAACTTGCTCCATTTATTGGTACCAGTCCTAGAACCATACCCTGAAAAATGCTTGAGGGTGGGATTCATAGAAACCTCTTTTGGGGAGGGGGCATTTTATGACAGGCCTGGCCATCACAATATGCCCCCCCCTTGCTATCTTACAAAATAAAAGTGTCACATTCATGAAACTTGCTCCATTTATTGGTACCAGTCCTAGAACCATACCCTGAAAAATGCTTGAGGGTGGGATTCATAGAAACATCTTTTGTGGTGGGGTGCATTTTTTTAATGATGGTTCCTTCGGGCCATTATGTGCATCCAGGGCACAAGTACGGTTTATCCACTGGAGGCCTTTGTACACATTGGTGGTGGTACCACCGCTGACAAATGTCACAGCAAATCTGAGAAAACAATAAATACTTGTTATGTAAGGTATGCATTATGGGATTTTTTTATGATAATAGAATATCTCTAATGTATTTCCCACTAACATTCTAACCATTCCTTCAATTATCGAAATATTTCAAAAACATAAATGTTGTGTTATGAGAAAGAAATACATTTTCAACAAAAATGTATGGAAAAACAAGCAAAACATTAATCCTTTATCAGTGAATGCTGAAGATGCCAAATATAGTAGCAATTACCAACGCAAATGTTATGTTGATAAAGTCTGGAAACATATTTCTGCTAATTGTATTCATTTGTAATGTGCAATAGGAAATTACCCAATGTTCTTCATCCTGCTCCTCCATCCCGCAGTAAAAGCAAAGCCTGCTTAGATCATCTGTTGAGACAAAACGTAATCAATATATTCAGATAAACCACATAGCATATTTGGGGTCAAGGTGACCCATTCCAATTTTTGACTAAAAAGGTCAATTATATAAGGACACATTTGTTGTGGTCTTTTATTATTTTGTGTGAAGAAAAGGCGAAACACACACAAACACATAGATTTTCTAAATTATTAAATCTGAGCACAGAGGAGCCATCTGCTCCTTCTTTCACACTCTCCTTACCCTCTGTAGAATGGGAACCTGCACAATGTCATTACAAAACATCCAAAAACTTATTTCGCACTGTACGCATCAATTTAAGTTTGGTTCTCATGGTTCTTTTGTTGTTCATCACATGTATTAGCTTTACAGCTTTGATTATAATAAGTTCAAGGTAAAAATTAACTGAGGATATCAGTTAAAAGTAATAAACACCAATGAGCACATTGAAAGGAGGAAGATGGGGAAATCTCACATCTTAAATAAACCGCAGAATTGAAAGGGTGTGTTAGAGTGTGACGTGTGTAGCCTATATGAAATTGCAGTTGAAGATGCCTGCCTGCGATGCTTCATATGTTATCTGTTTGGAGTTGAGATACACAATATACTGTATGTAGTGACTATTTACCCTAATCTATACTTAAGCCACTGTGTTGCTTTTAAAACCCTGATAATGTCCCTGGTCAACAGTACCAATGGTCCAAGCAGTGATACAATACAACAATTTGCATGGCACATTATTAATATACTAGGTTATTGATGCATACTTATGAGATACAATTAATAAAAGTAACTACATGAAGTCATTGACAATGTTGAGAAAAGGTAACAAACCAGATTCTCTGAGGAGAGAAGTAGCAATGTCCAGCCTCAGCTCGTGCACTGCCTTCTGTGAGGTTTCAAACTCAATTGCCTCCCCCAGTAAAATCTTCTCTGCAAACTGAAGAGAACCTTGATTAGTATCTGGACTGCATGGTCTATGATTTTACCCTCAAATGGAATACAGACAAATGACCCAACAGATTTAAAGAATGACATGTTGTATATGTGTAGTTTGACACAATTCAATACATCTTTGATCAAGATGTATAAAAGCAAGTCAATATATTCAGTCTAATTGCTACTGAATTTGAGTTTGAGAGTAATGTTTGGCTAAATGCATTTCACACTCACTTTTAAGGCCAGGACACCACAGGATGTGCTGTCTTGTTGGCGATTATGGGGGAGGGTGCTGCATGTCCACCTTGACACCTTGCAGCCTTTCAAACTCATAAAGGCTCTACAGTATGTAGATAGTACATGTGTCAAGATGCAGCACATCATTGTCAAAAAACTCATACAACACCGGAACTAGTACACTGTATCAAATGTACCTTGTAGACTGTAGGCACACCCTCATGTTGCCTTTCCCTTCTCCAAGTGGATCCAAAAAGAGGGTTTTCTTCTCATGGGGGTACATTACCTTTTATTATTCACATGGAAACACAACATGCATTAGGCAGGAACCATACATTACGCAGGTACGATGTAGGGTATTGTTTAGATGTTATCAATAATAAGTGACGGCATGTATGTGTGGCCCGGTTATCTTGCAAATCACTAATTATATATGGTGTATACAGCACTATAGATACAGATTGGAGCTTAAAATATGCTCCTATTCTCAACACCAACATCCAGTGATGGTTCTCGTTCACAATTCCCACGATGACTGTCTGTGCCATTGGATCAACCTGAGAGTAGTTGCAAAAGTATTACATTCCTGTTGAAAAATGCACATTTGCAACATTTACAAAAGCAAAGTCATTCCAATCATGTACATACCCGGATTCTTCCAAATTTGTGTTTCCAGATGGCGGTCATAGCGTAGCTGTCAATAACAGCTGCTTGACCGTCATTGCGCTGGTTGAATCTTCTTACAATGAGTGTAAGGTAGGCATTGATCACCTTTGAGAAAAATGATCACCATGTATTAAAAAGAGGCATGTTTACTGTAATGCTATCAACTACATTGTTGTAACGCCACTGAATTTCCTTTTATGATTTAAGTCAATAAAACTGTAATACAATGTTTTGTGACTTTCATTAAAACAAATATTGCCCATTAGGGAATGGAATTATATAAAATATAAAAATATAAATTAGAATGTGACAAAGCAATACCTCACTCTCCAGCTCCTTGTTTGGACCAGTGTTTGTGATGTCCCAAAAATAAAGTTTGTATGGCCCTATTTTTGAAAGGAGGACATGTACATCCTTCCCAGCCCATGCCTCCTGCACATCTGAAAAAAATACATTAATGCCCCAACCATGATATAGTTAAAGAATTAGTTCATGTTTACATAATTACTATTCAAATGTAACACTCAATATCAAAACACCTACATGTGTCAGTTAGAGTGACAGTATTTATTGGAGCAGATGAGGCTGACGCTGATGGAGCAGCAGGTGAGGCTGATGGAGCAGCGGGTGGGACTGATGGAGCAGCGGGTGAGGCTGATGGAGCAGCAGGTGGGACTGATGGAGCAGCAGGTGAGGCTGATGGAGCAGCGGGTGGGACTGATGGAGCAGCAGGTGAGGCTGATGGAGCAGCAGGTGAGGCTGATGGAGCAGCAGGTGGAACTGATGGAGCAGCAGGTGAGGCTGATGGAGCAGCAGGTGGGACTGATGGAGCAGCAGGTGAGGCTGATGGAGCAGCGGGTGGGACTGATGGAGCAGCAGGTGGAACTGATGGAGCAGCAGGTGAGGCTGATGGAGCAGCAGGTGAGGCTGATGGAGCAGCGGGTGGGACTGATGGAGCAGCAGGTGAGGCTGATGGAGCAGCAGGTGGAACTGATGGAGCAGCAGGTGAGGCTGATGGAGCAGCAGGTGGGACTGATGGAGCAGCAGGTGAGGCTGATGGAGCAGCAGGTGAGGCTGATGGAGCAGCAGGTGGGACTGATGGAGCAGCAGGTGGGACTGATGGAGCAGCAGGTGGGACTGATGGAGCAGCAGGTGGGACTGATGGAGCAGCAGGTGGGACTGATGAGCAGCAGGTGGGGACTGATGGAGCAGCAGGTGAGGCTGATGGAGCAGCAGGTGGGACTGATGGAGCAGCAGGTGGGACTGATGGAGCAGCAGGTGAGGCTGATGGAGCAGCAGGTGGGACTGATGGAGCAGCAGGTGGGACTGATGGAGCAGCAGGTGGGACTGATGGAGCAGCAGGTGGGACTGATGGAGCAGCAGGTGAGGCTGGCGCTGATGGAGCTTCCATGTAGGTTGGTGATGTGGAGGGTGCTGCTGTTGTTGTTGTTTTTTTAATTTGGTGAGGGATTCGGGGCACCTGTGCTTTGGATATTTTCAAGTGATCCACATTGATTTTTTTTAAAACGTTACCATCCTCCGATAGCAGATCAGCACTTTTCCCCTCTAGTGCTGTCATTTGGAAAGGGCCAAGGAAGTTTGCCTCAAGCTTGCCACCTTTTCTTTGTTGGCTCCGCACATTCTGTCGCCACACCTGGTCACCTACTCTGAAGTGACATTTAGGAATGCCCTTTGTCAAGCGCTCCCTGGTGCTTTTTTCCTGCTTGGAAATATTGCCATGGAGAATGTCCTTGATTTCCTCAAGGTTTTTAACGCCCTGGGAAACCTTTTCCTCAGCCACAACATCCTCAACACTGCTGTCTACCTGTGAATAAATGTTTTGATATTCCTTCAGTAAATGTTTTCAACATTAACTTGATGTACCTTAAGTTATATTGAGACGTGTTTACCAACCATGAAGTGTCCTGGCACCTCGGTTGGATACCGAGCCTCTCGGCCAAACATTAAAAAGTATGGTGAGAACTTAGTTGTCATCTGCTTTTTTGTTCTCAAGCCAAACATGACTGCATCTAGGTACTCATCCCAGTCTTCTGGTTTGTCTGCCACCAACTTCCTGAGAGCTCTAAAAAAACAAAACTGAATGTGTACTGATAATAGTACTGATAATAGGCATTATATATACTGTATATATATATATATGGTCCGACTGGCATTTGCCTCACCTTTGTATGGTGCCGTTCATCCTCTCTACCAGCCCATTGGTTTGAGGGTGATAGGGCGAACAGAGACTTCTCTGAATCCCCATCTTGGCACATACATTCTTGTTGATCTGTAAATATAAAGAACATTGTATAACGTTTTATATAGATGAAAACACGACTAAAATATTTTTGCAAAAAATGTTTAAACCATTTTCAAAATGACCGCATTGACAAACTCTCTTCCTTGGTCAGTCAGGATTCTCTTTGGCACCTCAAACTGATGGAAACACTTTACTATGCATTCTGTCACCTCAGTTGCTGTTTTGGTTTTCAGAGGATATGCTTGCAGCCATTTGGTGAGGTAGTCTACCATAACGCAAATGTATACATTCCCACTATTGGTAGTTTTTAACCTGCCAATCAAGTCCATGCCAATGAGCTCAAATGGATGTTCAACCTTGAAAAAAAGGACAAATAATAATTATACATTTTATTCTGGATATAATGTTTGTGAGCATGTTGTGTAGGGAAAATAATTCTGCTCAAATCAATCAGAGCTTTCTTCCTTTCTACATGATCTGCTGAGATGGATGTGATATATGTGAGGTAAATGTGTTTTGTGATACAACAACAGACATTGATTTTGAGAATGTGGTCAAAACTATTGCCTTTATTGGGGTATATTCCACCTCCTGTTTTATAGGATGAGCAGCTGCCTGGCACACTGCACATTCCGACACCTGTTCAAAACACATACACAGCACAGGTTAACTATCTGAATACCTTTTTCTGTCAGTTCACATCAGGACCAGACCAAATAGAACAGGTTCTTACATTTTTGTAATTTAAGGAAATAATACATAAACTTAAATGCAAGTAGGCAGGGTATTTAACTTTATCTGCGATAAGCTGAAGCTATAAAAAGTGAACAGCTTGCTTATCAGCAGTTGCAGTGCTTACCCATTTATGTATGTCCGAAGACATCCCAGGCCAAAATAATCTTTTCGACATGGCGTCTCTGGTCCTTTGTTGGCCTGTATGAGCACCTGTGACGCTATCGTGGAAATCTCGAAAGATCGCGTTTGCCTCCTCCGCGCCTCTGACCACTTTGGTCTTGGTGGCGTTACCAGGACCCTTCATGTAATACAGGGCTCCATCTTTAACATAAATTGTAATATTCGTTGACATCAAATAAATGACAGTTATACAATCTGCATATTGACTTACAAAAGTGTGTGGGGTGTCTATGAATAGGCTACTTAAACAATCAATCAAAAACTCACCATCCAGGACATAAGTGGAAGCCTTTCTTCTTATTTCCTTTTTAAATGTCTTTGTGCTGTCTAGCGGATACTGGCCTTTACACTTGTAATCGACAATGGTTTGGTACACATTGTTATCCATTTTAACAGAGCAAGCTTCACTGTGTAACTGTCGGCTGTACCGCAAATTGGTTTTCGCGCCGTCACTAATGACTGTGGGACGCGGGAACGAGTGGGGTGCGCGTGTGCAAGTTGCTTGTGTTGGTAATGCGCAAAATTAATCCAGTAGACAGACACGTGCGCATATATAAGATAATTATTACATTACATTACATGTCATAGACGCTTTTATCCAAAGCAACTTACATACATTCAGGACAATCCCCACAGGAGCAATTACCAGTGTTTTGTAGCTATATATCTCTTAATATTATTTAATAGTTTAACATTTATTTTCTTGCTGTTTATAGTGTTTATTGTAAATGTATTCTTAGTTAGTCTCATAAGTAGTTTATATGCTTTTATTTTGAAGGCATGTTTTGGGCACTGGGTGATTAGAGCACCTGGTGTAATTGTATATATTGGAGACAGGTGGGTGGTGGGAGCCAGAGCACTAGTAGGCAAACGGTTTTTTAGCAGGGTGTTTCAAGCCACACAAAGGAAAGCCAGAGGAAAGGCTTAAGGAAGAGATATATAGGAAACCTGTTCATTGTACTTTGTTAATGGAATAAAATGCACAAATGGAGGTTCTTGTCTGGATTTGGATGATCATTGCCCTGCGTAAGATCCGCTAACTAGTGCCTCAGCGGCTGTATTATTTTAAGTTAAATATCTGTTTTATTTCTATATGATTTTGGCCGCTACAGGGAGACTGCAAGGTTTCTTATATTAAACTTTGCCTATAAAAATCTAATAAATCTTCAAAATAAATGTTTATTTTATGTGTGATAATGTCAACCTGATCTCACCAGAATGCGTGACTCCACCACGACTCCTTAACACCGCATTGCGTGGTGGAGTCACTAACTTTGTTACATTCACGTGTCTGCACCACGCAAACAACCCCAATTGGATAATGTACACAATTTTAGTATGGATAATATGTCACTTTATTTCTTTATTTCATTCAGCATGTATTATGAATTACTGTGTGTATGTAAATGTATTGGACAATTGCAGGACTAGCACTCACTCCATATTGGTTTTATTTCTGACTCGGATGATAAACCAGGCCCCCCCCAAAAGAGGTTTCTATGAATCCCACCCTCAAGCATTTTTCAGGGTATGGTTCTAGGACTGGTACAAATAAATGGAGCAAGTTTCATGAATGTGACACTTTTATTTTGTAAGATAGCAAGGGGGGGCATATTGTGATGGCCAGGCCTGTCATAAAATGCCCCCCCTCCCCAAAAGAGGTTTCTATGAATCCCACCCTCAAGCATTTTTCAGGGTATGGTTCTAGGACTGGTACCAATAAATGGAGCAAGTTCCATGAATGTCACCCTTTTATTTTGTACACATAGCGATAGCGTATATAATAATATGCTGACAGACTATGTAACATTTGTAAACATATATTTTGATTATTAGATGACAACTGTGTAAAATTAAACAATACATTTTAAAGCACGTTTATACAGACAGGACGTAACAATAATGATAAAAAAAAAAGATTAAAAAAACAAAAACTGAAAAGGAAGTGACGAATGAATTTCGACACTTCAAATAAGGAGCGAAAAGTTAAACCAGAAGAATCAAGACTATGAGCTACCACTAAACAACTCACCGTCTGAAAATTACCATTAATAAAAACCCTGAACGTTTACTTTTCGTTTTAAACATCGTTTTAAGGTGTAAACCTATGGTGTAAACCTATGGTGTAAACGTGTCATTTAGAGGTGTAAACGTGTCATTGAGAAATGCGCGTTCCCGTGACAAGGGGGGCATTTCATGACGGGGAGGCATAATGTGACACAACACCGGGAGGTTTCCCGATGGCCTGGCCTGTTAAGGCAATAGACTATGATATTCAGTACAGGAAGCTTAGCAACACCTAGAAGGTGTACGGCTAAACCCTTGGCCTGCTTGCACCTCGCGTAAAACGGCGGATACCGGAATTACGGTGTCGCCCTCGGCCCAATACCCGTATGTGTGTGTGAAAGAATAACAACAGCGCCCTCCCTCTCTCCCTCGCTCACTCGCACTTTGGCAGTGAGCTGCGGGTGCCAGATAAGCCAACATCCCCCATTTTCATCACTTACAGCGCCCATCGTACAGGGCAAATGAAAAGTGTAACTGGGATGAAAAGGGTGTTACATTTACTTAATTATGAATGTTGTTACATCAAGGCCGAAAATTAGGATGAGCCTTAACGGTCAAAACATTTTTTTTCCCTCCCAGAGCTGTCAGCGCAGCGCCTCCACAGATCTGGCGCCCTAGGCGAATATGGTTACGCTGTAGGAAGTGTAGGTACAACGCTACATTTCCATGGATGTATAATAGAGAACCGCAGTGACGCGTCCTGAAACCCGGAAGTAAACTTCTTCCGGTTCCTTCGTGAAAAACCAATGCAATTTCTCCATAGGATTTTGGAAAATAGCTCGAAATAAGGTCTGTGGTTGACACACATTTAAGAGAGGGATCACGTTTTGTTCAGCCGGATAATCTCCACATGTCTATCCTACTTTTATAATTTTTGAATCATAAATCTAGTCGCCAAAAGCGAAATGCTAACGTTATGCTATAAACGAACTACAAGCCAGTACAGCAGCAGGGTCGCATGACTTCAACGTCACGCCAACTTAAGATCGTTTCAACTGACTTGCACTGAAACTGCACTTTGAACATATTTTAAGTGGGGGTGTACCTCAAATCCTATACGGGGGTCCGGGGGCATGCTCCCCCGGTAAGATTTATTTTTAAATGTTGGACTTAAATGCATCAATCTGGTGCACTTTGAGGGGGAAATAAAGAGACTACACCCATATGAAACATAACTGTATACATTTAAATAATCATAAAATCATGAGAACATGGCCATAACCAATAACATACCATATCCAATATGAAAAAACATTGAAACTTGTTTATTTATTTGTTTTTGGTTCATTTATAGTTGTGAGTGTGTCTGTGCTCCTGAACCAGCCTCTCCTGTCTCCCCCCTCTCCTCCCTTCTCCTCTTTGAGGCAGAAGCAAAGACTAGTTTTAGCTCTCAACAAGTTTTAATAGTTTATCTTAACTTTTTTCACCTAGTTAACGTTTTTTTTACTAATCACTCCCCCCTCAAATGGAAATATGTGTTTACATAAATGGTGTCCAAACCGTTTGAGACCCACTGAGATAACTTAGACTAAGTTAACTATCTAAGCACTCAGAGAGTAATTTACCTCACCTGAGCTGTAGTTATCAGTCTCTCAGTCTGACAGCAGAGGACTCTCCTCCACCTTGTTGTTGAAAAAGCTCCTTATATCCGTTAGCGCAGCTAGCTAGCACCAGATGCTAACAACAACAATACACGTAGCCGGCGCGCGCGCTTTATCTCACTGGCTCGCGCCACACATACACTAACTAACACACACCTTCCCGAGCTTGAATGACACACAGAGACCAATCGAGGGCATTAGTATGATCTGTATGAAAGTGGCCATGTCGGCAGGCCACATCATGTAGACAGCCAGTCACCCTCTGTGAGGCAGAGTCAGACCCACATTTGCGCAGCGTTGCGTTCACAATACATACATAAAAAAAAAAATCCTTAGGCCAGCAGGCCACTTAAGATGTCTTTTTTTTGCATTTTTTTTTTTTTGGGGAATTATTATTTGAATTTCTGCTGACACTAGGTGGGGCTGTGTGTGTTATGTAGGTTT